GAATTGGCGATTGGTCCGTACTGCAAAGACTTGATGCGTCTCTGCGACTTCCAGTACCCCATCGGCCTCATGCAAGAATGGGTCAACAATCCACGGTTCTTCTCTGCCAAATTCACTGGGTCTTCTCAAGGACTCCTGTGCTGGCACGTCTTTGTTCCAAAAGCCTTCGCTCGCGAGGCCGACCTGATCTTGGCTGCAAACTTGGACCTACGCAAGCCCAGTTGTGCTCCCTTCCAAGCACCGACCTACTACACCAGAGATTGGCAGGCGGCGAAAGACAAATTGGTCCTTGGCAAACAGTGCCCACAGCTTCAGTCCTTGATCGAATCCATGCGGGAAAGGACTCGGGCGACGCGGGTTCTGACTGCCATCTACCGGATTCCCATCGAACTCCCGGGCATGCTGACTTCTGCTGCAACTGAGAACTTTGGAAGGCTCACCCTCCTACAATTCCTTCTTGCCATCATCGTCACAGGCGCCCAGGCCAAGAAGGCGGAGGATGCAGAACCCAAGAAGCCACTGACCAAGGCCCTAGACGTGCTGAGTGATAGCAAGTCGTCCGGTGACGACGATGATGATGACGGTCCCCTGACCTTTGAGTGGACCACAATCGTCGAAAAGTCTTTGGTTGCTTCCACTCCAAAGCCTGTGGAGGACAAGAAAAAGTCCCTCCTCATGGACAACCTGCCGTCCTTTCTCCAGTTTCACCTTGGCAAGTCGTTGTTCCCCAATTTCATCCGAGTTATCAAGAACTGGTCAGCTACCGACCTCGCCTACCAGAATCGCAAGCTTCATGTTGAATGGGTCCCGTCAGAGCTACACTCCCGCTGTATTGACGATCCCACCGACAATCAAGGTCCTCAAGTCCGTGATCCCATGGACTTCCTTCTCTGCATGGAAGACCCCGTGGAGATTCTCGAGGGCACTCTCCACATCGACATCCACGCCAAACATGTTCGGGACGTGGACAATGGCCTTTCCGTGATTGGTTACCTTGACGACTGGAACGAGAGCCAGGCTCAGCTCCAGACCGCTCATCAGACCATCGAGACCATTACTGACAAGAAGAACAGTTTGAACCGGGACCTACAGTCCGCTCGTGACGAATTGGAGGCAATGAAGGCCGCCCAAGAGACAGCTGTTGCTATGGCAGAGTTGTCAACAACTGTTAGGCCTGTTCCAATGCTCACAGTGGACGTCCCTGCAGGTCCACCGGGCCAGACACGCGTCAGCACTACTACACTACTCAGTCCCTCGGCTCGTGGCATTGCTCCACCGGCGACGGCTCATGAAACGGACGGAGAAGATGGAGAGGACCAACCCAATGCGCCCTCTCCTATGGACACTGGTCGTGGTGGTATCAGTACCCCCACGACGGGTCCATGTTAAACAAAAGATCGCCTGCTGCTCGGTTGCGGCGGAACAGGCATAGATCGTTTATCACCAGCAACCGGTCAAGAGCGGCTCCACACACCTCTCTTGATTCCCTTTTAAGTTCCTTCCTTCCAGGAGATGGTTTTGGTGACAACCATCTCGTTCGTGCACCGGGTTCCGCCCGACTCGCCTTCCAGAATATTAACACTATTCCCGACGAGTCAGACGACCCTAAACAAGCACAACTCAACCACTGGATTCGAAGCGAATGTGTGGAGTCTTTACTTCTGGCTGAATTGAACAAATTCTGGCCAGCAATTACACCAACCAACCGATGGCGTGAACGAGCCAGCACTATGGCTAGGAAGGGCGAAGGTTTCCATTCGGCGGTGGCTTACAATACCCATCAACCACGGGCGGCCCATTCTACCACTCAACTTGGGGGCTGCTCGACTTCTGCCTTCAACGAAGTCTCTCGCCGAGTCAGGTCCAGTGGCGACGATAGCTTGGGGCGATGGGCTTGGATTCGACTTCAGGGCCGAACACGAGGCGTTGGCCAGCGAGACTTGGTGGTTATCTCTGCCTACGGACCAAACCCACCAAACTACGGGCATCAAACAGTGTGGTTCCAACACAAGGCCCATTTCAGCCGCACCAACCGCGATGCAGAACCCAGGGAAGCTTTCATCAAGGACCTCTCGACGGCAATCAACAAATGGCTTGGGCATCGATGCCAACGATGACTTATCCTCCTACTCGCCGAAGTCTTTCCGTTTTCGGATGAGCGAAGTAGGACTGGTCAAGGCGATCCAGTCCAAACACCCAGGGTCCCATCAGGCCACTTACCAGCGGAACCTCCGTGGGTATCCGATTGACGGTATCTTCGCGACGCCTGACGTGCCCATCCTGGCCGCCGGGTACTACCCTTTTGACAAACACGTCGCCTCCGATCACCGTGGCCTGTGGATCGACTTTGACTTGAACAGTCTCCTTGGCGGACACCAACCTACGAAATCCACCCATGTTCCACGCCGGCTGGTGATGCACAACAAACGGGTGGTTCAACAATATGTCCAATTGGCGGAGCAGGGTTATATGCAGTACAATATTCCGGGTCGTCTCTCTACCCTAGGATTTGATGTTGCCCGACAGCAGGGCGTCATCACCAAGTCCCAAGCGGTCAGATTCGATCGGATACACGCTGATGCCTACACAGTTCAACGGTTGGCGGAGCAGAACTGCAGGAAGTTGTCGATGGGCGGGGCAGAATGGTCTCCAAAAGGCCAATCCATTCGGCATCGGATTACCTTGTGGCGCCTTCTCCTCAAGGGCCGACGTCAGTGCTGGGTGAGCTCCAGGAAGGTTCGCCGCCTGCTGCTCAAGACGAACGAGCCCTTGGCCTGGAAGTTGACAACAGCCGAACTTGAGTCCCATCTCACCCAAGACCTTGGTCAATATAGAGACGCCAAGAGGGGCCTCACTTCTAAATGGCGGAAGGCTCATGTCACTAAGTCCGCCACAAGACGGCAAGCCAACGAGAACGATATCACCGCTTAAGGACCATGAAGCAACGCGAGGAGACTCGTCGGAGGCGCAAGGCTCGTTCCTCCGGTTTGTCTGGCGGTCTAAGGGCCATTCAAGTCGAACTGGAGGACAGCTCTGGCAGTTGTCGGTTACAGACCATTACTGACCCGACGTCGGTCGAAGATGGATGCATGCACGAAAATAGGGCCAGGTACCAACAAACCCAGACCCCACATCCAACTCCTCCCATGTCTGAGCCTCTCTACACTATGTTCACGGGCCCCGACGTCGACAACAACCAACAACTTCTTCTGGAGGGCAAACTCCCCATCCCTGGTGGCCTGGCTTACCCTACCCAAGCCTTCCTTCGCCACTGTCGACTGCACGACAGTTATCGGCCTCGTCCTTTCCCCTTG